CCCTATTTTATCTTGTCTAGGAAGAAGAACTATTTTCAATTCCAGGTTTACATGTTACATATTCTGAACTAGTTAGGTACAGTGTTAGTGGAAAACAGGTTGATAGTGAGTTTATGATCTATCACAAAACTATATATATGCTCAGAACCTTATGTCTTGGCAGAACTTGGCGGGGGGGGAGTGACAGCCCAAGAGGCCAACTTCTGTCCCTGCTGTGTAGTTAGCACCTCCCAAGAAATGAAGTGTTATTGTTTGAGTTGCTTTTTGAAGTTTGCGGTATTTTTCCATGTTCTTTATTTGCTAAATTTGGGCTGTTTGAAACTTTCTTTTGTCCCTGGAGTGACAAATACCTGCAAAAATTAGCCCATGGAGTAAAACTGAGTGATTTGTAAACATTTGAAAATGATTGTTTGGAGTGAAAATATCTGTGCAGCCTTGCACTTTGTGCCTGTGTTCGCTAACCCCCTTTTTCTGCCCTGAGCCAAAGTTTTTTGTCATGCTCTGTGGGAGCTGAGGACATAGGGCTTTATCAGCTTTTCTGTGGTTGGCTACAGAGCCATGGAAACATTAGGATCCTTTATTTGAAACTAATGACACAAAAAAGAGGATTATTTTTTTTTTTGTCTGAGAAATGGCTTGAAGGGGTAGGGACTGACTTTACTTTCCCCCTCCAGAATCAAGGAGAAGAAGAAGTAGCTTCTCACCATGATGCAGCTTTCCCAATTGCTGTGGTGGCCTCAGGAATCTGGGAAATGCACCCTCGAGTTGGAGACCTCTTTTTAGCTCATCTGCACAAAAAGTGCCCCTATTCTGTACCGTTTTACCCTGCATTGAAAGAAGGGACTTCTATGGAAGAGTATCAGAGGTAAATTTATTACTGGACTTCTTCAGCATTAACCCTGCAAGGATGAAGACTGTATTCTTCTGAGTGAACTCCACCTTTCCCCATCTCTGATTATGTAGGCACTGTGACGTGCTGGCATAGACTCTAGAGATTCACTTCCAAGTGTGCAGCTCCCCTGGCCCTGTTTCCCTGGAGGATGCTGTGTCCTTCAGATTTGGAAGTGCTCTTCTGCTTCATCATCCTTCTCAAAGAACAGTTGGTAGCCGTAGCTTGATTCAAGTTGAAAGTATCCAGTGCAGTACCTAAATATGCTACATGGTATAAAATAGCGGAACCTATTACCCAGAGGGTAATGATCAGCCTTTGCAATAATTCTTGTATAGTTTTGGAGTATCCCTCTTCTCAGTACAGTTCACTTAAAGTAAGCTGAGAACTGCAGGAACTCAAGTGAATGTATTTTTCTGTACTAATACTGGAATGTCTTCTCGTACTTAGGATGCTTGGATATCAAGTTAAGGATTCTAAGGTGGAAGAGCAAGATCATTTTCTTAAACGGATGTCAGGACTGATTCGTCTTTATGCTGCTATCATTCAACTCCGGTGGCCTTATGGAAACAAACAAGGGGTATGCGTGTATGGCATTATAACTGAGACCTTGTTGCTATCCCAAGAGACTATTAAATGTATTGTAAACTTGATTTGTAGTTAAGGTGTGCTGAACTTAAACCAGCTCATAATATAGTCATAACCATGATCAACAAAGCAATGCAAAGTAATTTGTAGAGCTTTACTTGCTTTCTTTATATTTTCATAATGCTCAAGTTTTATGTTAGGCTGTTGTAAAATAACTTTATGAAGAAAAAAATAAATCGGAAAACTGCCTGTTCTATAATGGCATTTTGCAAGTCATAAAACAAGTGGTGGGTAGCGTTTTTGTTGCTTTACAGACACATCCTCATGGGCTGAATTATGGATGGCGCTGGCTTGCTCAGATGTTGAATATGGAGCCTCTGGCAGATGTGACAGCTACACTACTTCTTGATTTTCTGGAGGTAAGGGATGTGGATTACTGGTAGCTAAATTGCTGACATTTCAGTTCCTGAAGGGATTGTTGAGGTAAGGTTGTGATTTTAACAGCAAGGTTTTTTTAACTTGCCCTTATTCTTTCAGAAAGGAATGTGAATATTTCCACATTCTTGCAAATATAGTTTTGGAACTGAATGATTTAAAAAATGAAGTTTTTATACATGCAACTTCTGTTGTTGTATCTGGTTTTGTTTAGGTTCTTGCTTTTTTAAAAATAGTTGCACGGTCCTGTAAGAATAAGGTGTGCTAAGCACGTGGCATCAGTTCGTACAATGCAGTGAGGTCCTGTGGCTTTTTCCAGCTGAATTAGGTCATAAAACGGGATTGTTTTTTCAGGTCTAAAAGGACAGAGCCCAACGTATATTAATCCTATATCCTAGGCTATTGGCCTATGCTAAATAAGAGCCAAAGTTAAAGGCTGAAGTCAGGGGACACAAATGCTACTGAACACAAGCAGCTTCTGTGCTTATCAAATGCCTTCTAAAGAACTTTAAAAGTAGAAATGAGAAAGTAAAGTGCAAAGTGAAATACACCATGGGGATTCTGTTAGTAGTGGTGAAGTTTGAGGAACATTCGTCCGGTAAACTGACCGTATGAAGAAAGCTGATGAATCCACGCTCCAGTAATCGAGATGGGGAAATGACCACAACATGCCCTGGCAAATGGTATTAGGGAAGGCTGTTATTTCTGGAGAGAGACTGAAGTGAGAGGAAGAACAGCATAAGATTGATATCAGTGGCCTCCACACAGTCAACAAGAAAAAACGTGATTGTTGCAGCAGTAATGGCATTTAGAGGATTTGCTTTATTGTAGGTGTAGGTATATTTCTTTAAATGTCTGGATAAAATACTAAGTGGTTGATACTGAACAGGTTCATTGAAGTTGTCACGCTAGTCTGAAACCCAGTTCTAGAACCTGGTCTTTGTGGATTTCTGTACCATAGGTGTGTGGCAACGCTCTCATGAAACAGTATCAGGTTCAATTCTGGAAAATGATGTTGCTTATCCGAGAAGACTATATCCCAAGGTATGATATCTGTGGTTAGGAATGCGAAATAATCTTTGTGTTTTACTTCAAAAGTGTTTGCTCTTAGATGACTCGTCCATCTTTTCCAGTCTCTGCCATCCACCCCTCACCCTCTTGTAAATCAAACCCAACTTTCTAAGTAGATTGTGAAACATGCTGTTATTTCTGCAGAATTGAAGCAATTACCAGCTCTGGACAGATGGGCTCTTTAATGCGTTTCAAGCAATTCTTGGAGGTAAAGCTGGATTTGGGGTTTTTTCAGTTTTCAAGTGTTTTGTGTTTGTTTGGGTTTTTTTTCCCCTTCGTTTGATATATGCATCATTTTGCTAATGAGGCTCGTACTGCTTGCTGCATTCCTGATAGTGCAGACCCATCACTATGATGTAACTTGTCTTTTATAACCTTTCAGTTACTGAATTACCTTAATGATAGTTATGGTGTCAAGCATCTCACTTCTTTCTTGCCTTACATCTAATTTTTCTCAGTGAAAATGTATTTTGACTATAAATGGAAGTTCAGCGAGATTAGTTGCAGTTAGAGAAGATGTACAGGTTGAGGAGGATTCTCTGAGTCATTTCTGTAACAGCTGTTTTTTTATCGGTGGTTAGCTTGTTTTTATCTGTTGTCCTGATTAGATAGATGAGGAAATAGACACTTTGAACTGGGTTCTGTAGGGTTTGTTTAACATTGTATTCTGCATCTTTTTTTTTTCTTCTAAGAAAGCTTACAAAACTGTAAAATACTTATTTAAATTGTTCTGTGAATATTGACTTAAATTATTATATTAAACTACGATTGCTTCATCATTTGTACTTTCCTTTCATAATTAATTTTGATACATTTTATCAGCAATGCTTTGTGTGCAGTAAGAGCCATCAGAATTCCTGAGAAGAGATGGCAAATTAAGATACAAATTTCTTTTTCCTTTGTTCTTTGTCTTACTCTCTCCAATAGAAATGTCTACAGCAGAAGGAAATTCCATTACCAAAGGGCGCTCTGCAGTCTTCCTTTTGGAGATCGTAAATCAGTTTATATTTCTTTCTCCCTGGATGTAGTGCTTTCAGACCTGGCTTCCTGTTTATATGTAAAGGCAAAATAAATGTATTTTGTATATAGAGGAATCAGGAGAAAATATTCTATCAGCCTGTTAATGTTTAATTCATAACAATTTATGTTGGGCAGAACACGTGTTTAATTTGTTGCAAACGATTGGAAGTTATTCTTTGCTATGGATTTTTGTAAGTTTTTGTATAGTAAATTACCGAAAATCGAAGACTTTTCCTTCATATGTTTAAACATGCAGAAGATGTTTTAAATATAGTATCCTGATAACCTCTGGGCTTCAGAGATTAAAGACTCTTGGGCTGGAAATTTGCACAGTGCTGTTCTGTTCATGGAAGTGAAAATACCTCACAGCTTTATGAAGTCTTAACAGAGTAATCCATCTCAGAAATTTACGGCTTGAACTTTATTTTTGTATTTATTACATCTGTATTTTATAATTCAGTTTTAATTATGCTGATGTACTTGCATCCTGTTTGTCTCAACATCTTAAAACTACAGGGAGATTGGTGAAGGCATTTGCCCTGGCAGTGTTGACACTTCTCTCTGTTGAATGTAATTTTGCTCTAAGAGGCAGTACTCTCGATTTAAGAGACGTAGAATAAGTGTTTTAAAAGGTTTGCACGGATGATAGTAACTTCATGGGGGAAGAGCAGAGTTCCTGAAACTGCAGGATTTCTGTGTCTGTTATCCATCAGATGGATGGAAGCTAATAACCTGTTTTCTTATTTAAAAGAAAAAAAAAAGTGGCAAAATTGTGCATTCATTCTAGCACTTTTGCTGATGTTCTGCCATCATTTGAGGGAGAAATGGTATGCTTGGGTTACCTAAGGTGCATTTTATAAGGCCTTTTTTAATGTAGATTTCTTCCTTATCAATGTTACGGTGTTTTATGTATCAAGTACTGTAATACTTTTGTACCAATGGTGGATTATTCTGAGAATAGTTCATTCTAGAAATCTGTTTAATATTAAAGTTTGATTTTTTTTTTTCCTTTGTAATCTAAAGTTTATGCGGTTTGTTTTTTCTATTGAAGAGGGATGGTCAAGAACATCTACAGCTGCTTGGTGAATACAGGAGATAGACAGTATGGGAGATCAGAGTGATGGGAGATCTTTCTGATTTATGGTGCACTGTCCTTGAACTATTTTGGTGGCTTCTAAGATGAGGAAATTTGCTTCAGACTTCTAGAAGGGAGTGCGTTATTTTGGAAATATACTGTTGGAAGTTAAAAATTTTTATTTTTACCAGATCAGTTTTTGTTATTCCTAGAGCCACTGTAATATGAAGCTGTAGTAAGCGGAGTCAAGGCTATGAGAATCTGAATTTGATTTTTACATATCCCTTGAGATTTCTGAGAAAAGTTTGTAACACGTACTTTGGAATTGAGGCCTTTAAAACCTTTAACCTTAGCTTTTAAATTGACTGGTAGATAAGTTAAATTTATATTTGGGTTATACATTTTCTAAACTAACTTTGGAATTCTTTAGACTGATGTTACTGGTGATTGTTCTGGGGTACTGGAAATCTCCTTCCAGTATCCTTTTACCAGGTAACGCTGAAGCAATATACAGCATTCATTAGTATACTTGAAAATGTTCGGGTGTTTTTTATACTGAGTGGAGATGTTTTAATTACATCTTGTGTATCTACAATTATGTTGGAGACTCACTTTGCCAAGATGGTAATTGGTAATGGCTGTTAGAAACAATTGCCTGCCTGTGCCAAAGCACAAGGACTGATTTGATGATGTATATATAAGATACAATAGCTTTCTTCTTTTGCTGACAGGTACTACGGTTTTCTAACACTTGGGGGGGGGGAGGGGGGGATATAAGTATATATTCGTATAAATAACAAACATGGTATCCTTTTATGCTTCAGTAAAGGGCATCCAGATACATACATACTATTTCAAAAACACTAATAAAGTTTTCTAATTGAATAATGAGTGCACTTCAAAAGAATCATAATAAATCAGTATTTATTTTTAGATGTAGCTTATGTTTGCATCTACTGCTTGAATTGATCATTAACTTGTATTATGTTATTCTGGTTTTTGTCATTTTAGCAGCTTTAAATGATAGCTATATGGTGTTAGGAAGATGCAGTGCAAACAAGGTCTTATGCATGTATTCATGGCATTGTCATATTTGATACAAACGTGCATATGACAAAGGAGAGCATCTCGGCTGCGAAAATACTGTGCATTCAGGACGAGATGCATTAAAATTGCCGTGAGTCATACTCTGCCTTGGAGACAATAGTTCCAGGCGGTCCCGCGGGTTGCGATGCAATGTCACTGCAAGCGTGCTCTTTCCACTTAAGTACTTTTTAATAAAAGTAAGTGTTACTAACTCAAAAGTCACTCAAACCCACTCACCACTTTGATCCTGTAACATTCTTGCTGCCTTAGACGACCTCTTTAAAAAAAAAAAAAATTAGAATAGAACTACTTTGCCGTGTCTATTTTAAACATCTACTTTATACTAAAGGCTCATTTTCCTTTGAATTTATGCATCGGCTTTTCAAAAATAGCTTTCTCTCGACAGGCGTTTGCAGCCTTTTGATGCTCTGTCCTTGCCAGGCTCCTTTGTGACGGTGACACTGCACGCTGCTTCAAAAGGAGAGCCTTACCCATATATATATATATATTTTAATAATGTAAAACTAATGAGGCTGCTGCTTTGCGTCTGCCCTGTTGATTTAAATTGTTAAACCTGTCGCCCATCCTCAGCCTCCGCGGCAGCCTGGGCCTTGGAGAGCCCAAACTCGCCCTGCCTGAGGAGAAAGGGGCAGAGACCCCAGCTGCCGCCGTGCTGCACGGACGTTTTAACTGATTCCCAATGTAATCCTGGCTTTTGTTGGGTGTCCGAGGCTGGTCACCGTGAGCCGGTGGGGCAAT